AAATACCCCCGTTGCGTTTATCGTTGTTAAAACAGCCTGGGACGCTGCAAGTGAATCCTCCTGACTTCTTAGCTCCAGACGCCATCTTGGATCAATGACTACAACTACCAGAACTCTTTGCGCGTGTGACGTCATCGTGCAAGTGAGCTATTGAGAAACATGCAGATAGATGTGCTCAGTCTGTAGAAGAACTTCCAGATCCACACCCAGTTAATTCGTCACAATGGCCACAGTAAGAGAGAGATACTGGGTGCCGAAACTTCGTAGCTTGGTCAAATCGGTCCAAAGCAAGTGCTATGGTTGCAAGAGATTCAGTGCAACTCCGGCAAGGAACCCAATACCTGGTCAGTTACCGGAAGATTGAACCACAGTTGGCGGGGCATTTGAAGTCATCGGCTTAGATTTCGCTGGACCTTGAAGTACAAAGAGGGAAAGAAAAGTCAAGGAAACGCCTATCTGGCTATCTTCACTTGCAGTCTTTCAAGGGCTGTACATCTAGAGTTAATAGCCAGCCTGGAGACAGACAACTTTATCGCATGTCTCAAGCGGTTCATCGCTCGTCGTGGATGACCGCGTGTCATCTACTCAGACAATGGCGGTACCTTCATCAAAGCTGAGAAATGGCTACGGCAGTTACGAGACGATGAGCGTCTCCATGGTCTTCTAGAACAACACGAGATCAAATGGAAATTTAACTTGAGCCGTGCCCCTTGGTGGGGGGGTCAGTTTGAGAGAATAATTGGAGTCGTGAAAGCTTCCATGTACAAAGCAATTGCTGGCGCTACTCTAACCTGGTCTGAGCTCAGTGAGGTGCTACTCGACATTGAAACCCAGGTTTATCGCCGTCCATTGAGCTATGTGGAAGATGACGTCGAGTTACCAATTTTAACGCCCGCGACCTTCTTGTGCCAGCGAACAAACCATTTGCCGGAAGAGGAAACCTGGAGGATAACAGATCGAGACATCCGGAGACGTGCTAAGTATCTGCGAACCTGTAAGGACCAAATGTGGAGTCGCTGGCAGAGAGAATATCTTACAGCACTAAGAGAAAGACACAACCTGATGCACAGAGTGACCAAGTTCCAACCTAAAAAGGGAGATGTTGTCATTGTAAAAACTGACGACAAAAACCGTGGAAGATGGCCTCTGGCCATAGTGAATGAAGTCTACCCAGGCAGCGACGGCGTCATACGCGCAGTCCAACTCAGAACCGCTAAAAGCATACTGGAGCGTCCAGTACAACATTTGTACCCATTGGAACTCGAGTGTGACCTCTGCACTCCAGTGGCAGACCCGCGCTTAAACCCACAGGCTCAGGATTTCCGCCCTAGAAGAGATGCAGCAGCAGCAAGGTTGCGAATGAAACAAGTTGTGGATGCTGAACAGTGTGAACTATGAACAGGAAATCATTCAAGTTGCGGGTGTTGAACAATGTGAAATAAGAACACTAAATCAGTTCGTGAAAACTGATCCATTAGCCAAATGCTCGCATTTCGTGACTGCTGAAAGATATACTGGCAATAATCGTTACAAATTTGTTGCATTACTACTATTAAAGAATGATAGGTCCAGATCAATTCCTAGCAATGATTTTAGGACACCAAAAAATTTAAGG